TTGACTGAGGATGTCTTTTGAATAAAGACGAAACGTCTCAAACAGAAAATAGTCGATTTTCATGATGAAAAAGGTTGTGTATCTCTTATTATCTATATTGAAATTCTTCACCTTACAAAATGACTCAATTATAATATTCTCTCGGATTGTCAATGCTTGCTGAAGAAAGACAAGCGCTTGATCGTACTTTAGTCTTTGATAGTGAATGAAACCAATGTTCTCTAGACTAGTGGCAATATGCATATAATCAGAAGAGTAATATTTCTTTCCGATTGCCAATGCTCGTTGATGAAAGTCGTATGTTTCGTCGTATTTTCCTTCCAGATGCAATATCTCACCAATATTGATGAGTAGGTGAACACTGCTTATTATACATACTCAATATTCTTTAGATAACAGAAAATTTTTCATTCTTTTATTTTATCTAAAAGGTTTCGTTACCGAATTCCGAAGAGTTTCGAAATTCTTTCCATAGAAAAGTATTCAAACGTAGTTTCAGATGTCTCTATTTTGTGTTAGTAAAGTTCTGGATAATATAAACAATGAAAATAATGCTTTTCTTTGAGATTACTGTGCCTGCACTATCAATTTTAAATGACTCAATATGGAAAAGAGTGCAATGTTTGAGGTAGCTTTGATTGAAGATTATTCTTCAGAACGACCAAAAAAGTTCAAACCGATCAATCAATATTAAAAAGCGTTCTTTCAAGTTTTTTGATCAATTAAATTCGGCAATTTTGAAAGCAGAAGAAACACACTTGATGTTCCGTCGAGTGGTACATTAAATTTAAATAACAGAATTTATATGAAAACAATGATTGACACTTGCAAATCTTCCTTTCAAAGAAATGAAATAATTTATCATATGTCTATATGAAAAAAAGTTTATTTAACTAACTACAGTATCAAAACAACAGTAAAGCATAAGTTCACACAAAACCTTTAGATCTTTTTGGATGACGTCAACCACCCATCTTCCATATCTTTCAATAATGGTTTTCGCGTACCATCGTAGCCTGTTTGTCTCATCCAGTTTTCAACTGTAACACGTTCCGGATTCACCTGTTCAATCCATTTCATATCTCTTTGTATGAGATCATCATGATATATACGCCACCAAGCGCGGGCATTTTCACCATATGTTTTACCTCTGGGAACATCTTGTGCAACCGGAGCATCTTTCCACCCTACTCCATCAATATATTCATCGAACGTAACATCTTTGTAAACAGCTGGTAGATTCGTAACACGTTTAAATATTTCGACGAGTTCATCCCAGCCGAGCATTTGGGAGGCAATCTAAAGTGACAATATCCTTCAGAAACAGAAAGAATCAGAGCGAATTTAGGTTCAGAAGGTTTAAGAGAATATAAGTAACTCTCAGAGATCTAAGATAGGGTTGGTCTATTTTTTTAAATATTTGTCCTTACTTGCAAATCTTTGCCACTTGTTTCCGTTCGATGATCAAAGATGTAGCGCGCAAAATATCCAATATCATCTACAGATACGATCGGTACATGTCCTTTGCCCAACGGTGCAATGAATACACGTGTACCGTCATCTTGTATTTGTGGAACGTAGGCGCCTCCATGAAGCTGTTCGATGTATGGTCCGGTTGTTAGTATACTCCATACCATTCCATTGTTATCGGACGGCTGTTGTTGCATCCACTCAGCAACACGTCCTTTCCCGTTATAATGATCACAATAATAGATCGGATTATAGTTAGCCTTTTTCGTGATATACTCCAAGCCCGAATAGATGTAATGCTTCAACGTTCCGACTTGTTTAGCCAATTCAAATATACACATACCGGCAAATACTTCGGCCTGTTCACCAATTGTAAACCCATCTGTATTTACAAAGACACCATAACAGTTTTTTAGTGCTTTGAAAACACTATCGGAATCCATAACGTTTCCCTGTACAATTTCAACTTCAGATGATTTAAATTCATCTTTGACTATACGATGTGATGGATCGCGTGTCAGGAGACGGATGGTATATGGAGATGGCCCACCTGATGTTCGATCAGGACGAAGTAACTGTTTGATAACGGCTGCTCCCTGTGCACCGGTACCACCAATAACGAGGATAATTTTCTTTGTTGAAATGGACCTAAAGGGTTTAAAAGCAGAAGAGGTTTGTATCTTCATGGGCAGAAAATCGAAGTATGAGACCGAAAACTTGTTTATTCACTTACATTTTCTCGTTTTCTGTTTGTGAACAATGTATATCTATATCGTTGTTTATATAGCCTAATACATGTTGTGTCTCGTCATGCTGAATAAAATAAAATGGACACAGTAGTGTATAAAACAGAAAGAAGGAAAAAAAAATGCCTTGTCATAGGTACTGTGCTATTTCATTGTTCTGCTATTAACAGAACAGTGTGAAAGATATTTTTGTGCAAATCAGTGTGATGATACAAGAATTTTATAAACTGTAGTAATTTGCGAAGAAATTTGAGTATTTACACTGAAAAGATGCATTTGAAAGCATTATCATTTTAGAAAAGATTGTATGTCCCTAGTTATCGGGGCTCCATCGATTGCAGTCTTGTATATAAGGTCTGTCTTTGTCGAATGAAGAGTTGAATAATCTTAGGGTCGACTTCCGTTCTTATACAGTACACGAACAACCCAAGCAAAAACGACCCAATTTTTTGGGTTATTTATCTAGATTCAGGTCCACGTGCATCTAGATGTACGTGGACCTGAATCTAGATAAATAACCCAAAAAATTGGGTCGTTTTTGCTTGGGAATCATGTCCCAGACTAAAAGATACCCTCCTGATTTGAGATTATACCTAAAAAACGTCTAGCTAAAACTGTCATTATGTGAAATATAAAGTTTAGTGTACGTGCTTCTTTTTCCATTCAAAACTGAAAATTTTCATGATCAACGGATGAGATTATAAAAACGTTTGTAATTGATAATTTTGATAAATGATTCAATAAAAATAACAAATCTTCCAGTTGACTGATTTTACATGTAAGTTGTTCAATATTTGAAAATATTTTACAAAATTTATTCAGTTCATTAGAATTATCAAATGAATGAACATAATAGTTGTGTAAATCTCATTTTTTAATCATTTTATTCGAATATTTTCGTAATACATCATTGCTGAAGAATGAGTATAAAATACTCGGATGTATAATCATTGATAATAATTGTGGCGATTCTTTTAGTATTTCTAATAATCCTAATATCGTTTCTATTATATTATAGGACGGCATCTCTAAATATTTTAGTTTAGATAAATTAACAATTTTTTTGAGATACTTTGTGTGTTCATCTGTTACAAAACGATCGCTGACATCTGAAAACCAATCTGACTGTCTCTTTTTAATGAAGTGATATTTAGAACATTATATTCACATTTATCTATGATAAGGGTACCTACCCTGCTTTTTTGTAAAAATTTCGAATTTTGAGCTGACCATAGCCAGATGTTGAGGAAAGTGTGGGCTACAAAATAAGATCAATCTCAGTACTCCACGACGTTTTTCCAAAAAGTTATGGATTTTTGAAGTTTTTCCGTCAAAACCTAAAAAACTTAATTTTTTAGTTTCATAAACTTTTCTCTCATTTTCTGTACATGCGAAATTTTTCTTTAAACAAAGTCTGATAGAAGAAAGTGTTTTCTTCACAATGAGACGTTCTACAAAATTTTTCAATGAGTTTTCGCGGAAATATAAGCGTCGCGGCAAATCCTATGAAAAAAGTGACATATGTACAAAATGCGTTTTTTCTCGAAAACTGTTTTTTGCTACCGGACTTCATTGTGCCACATTACGACCCCCTTAAATTTCATCCGATCGAGTTCAAAATTTTACCAGAGGTACTCAAGACACCATTGTAGAGGTAATTTTTTGGAATTTTATTTTAGACTTTTCTTTACCGACTAAAAGGGTTTCTAAAACTGAAAAACTTGATTTTTGAGACGTTTTTCAGTATTTTCCCTATAACTCGACAAGCAAAGCTCACAAAAAAATTTCCTAGAAATAATCTCTGCGGAATGGCCTTGAATACCTCTGGGAAAATTTTGAACTTGATCGGATAAAGTTTAAGGGAGGTCGTAATGTGGCACAATGAAAAACAGAATTTTCCGGCAAACTAGTGAACGGCAATAGTTAAAAAGTTGAAACGAAAACGAAAAAGTGCTCCACTGACGTGAGTTTTAATTCAGTTCTGAAAATACGAAACCCTAGCGACTTTTAGTTTTCATTTCACAGCATTTCTACGGAAAGCCCAAAAAGAGAAAGGGAGTATTCTTAAGGCACTCCAAATTCGAAGTAACAGCGCTACTTTATTTTTGGCTTAACCATATATCATGCGATAGAAAATTTCACGCTGATCAAGAATATCTAGTTTTTAGTCTTCCCAGTGTACATTATCAGTGAAAAAGTTCAAAAAACTTGAAGGAACTCTTATTTCGAAAAACCACTAACTTTTCTTGAAAACTAAATAACTTGATTCCACCTCATTTCGAAGCCGTGAAACTGAGTTTTTCTTATTTAGCATTAAAAACTGCATACAGGAAGCTATATCTCAAGGTACCAAAACGAAAAGAAGTCTTCGAGCGACAAACGAAGCCGACAGATCTTCAACTTTTATACGAGGTATCACGACAGAAATTTTCATAGATCAGACAGCCACTTAGAGTTTTTCTTTAGATTGTTTCAAATAGACGAACTAGAATTGATATTGACAAATTTGATTACTTTGTACGTGATTGTCGACAATCAGGAGTATTACACTCATTTGAGTATAAGCGTTTTATGAAATTCTATCGTGTTTTACAATTGGACAACGGTACAAGAGAATTATGTATTCGAGTCAAAGAAGTGAGATCGTGTTATGATTTGTATCGGACAAGAGCTGAGCGTAATCAAAATTATCAATTACAAACGTTTTTATAATCCCATCAGTTGATCGTAAAAATTTCATTTTTGGGTGGTAAAAGAAGCACGTATACTAAACTTTATGTTTCATATTGATTATATTGACAGATTCTGAACAGAATTATCTGTTGAATCGGTAAAAATAAATTAATTATGTATTATACTTATGAGGCAGTGCACGATAGAAAAGTACTTTTCCAGCATAGCGTGCTCAATGAACTTTGACAAATGTTTTTCAAATTTTCAGAGCAGATAGAGAAATGTGTTCTGAACATTATTGTCTCTTGACATTTTTTCCAAAGTGCTTTCCCTCGATGCTAGAGCGCTCGCAGAAAAGGTCGTAAAATACGGAAAAAAAAGCGATTTTTTCCAGTCGAAAATTTTCCTTACGCTATAATTCCGTCAAATCAAATCCTAATGAACTTAAATTTTTCCCAGCTGTCTTGGTATAAGTACTATCTATAATAAAAATTTGAACCTGTTTGGTCGCAATTCTTTTTTACCAACTTTTAAAATCAGATAATTGTAAAAGTTGGTAGAAAAGCATTTGGTCACCACGGACGAAGGAAAGGTCATCGTTCAAGAATAAGGTGATATTTGGAATCCGCGTAAAATTCTCTTTCTAGTCCATGTCTCTCTGTTTTCCGAAAAAGTTTGCAAAGGTGAAATATCGGGGCTTCGGAAAAACATCTATGAAAAATCAAAATTTAATGTTAAAAATCTGTGGTTTGCGGAGATCGATAGAAAATTGAATTCTGCATCGAGCTATTGAATCAGAAAAATTTTTTAATTCACTGAAGTGGCTGAATTCCAAGATAGCTTTGGAAAAAGGTTTTCCGAAAAGTCTTGCAAAATTCGAGGTTTTTCTCCTTTCCTATGCACTGCGGAATTTTCATTTATACGTCATTCTGCGTCGAATGACATAGAAATCAATGGGTTTTAAAAGATTTTTCAAAACTTTTCAGGTTTTTTCGAGGTGTGCTGACCGTTTTTGACAAGAGGCCCCCGATTGTTTTCCATAATTTCCCCAAAAATTCGACGACGATGTCTAAAGAATAAACTATTTCTGGAGAGCGCTTAACTCAAACAAGTTCAAATTTTTATCATGGATAGTACTCATACCAAGACAGCTCTGGGAAAAATTTAAGCTCACTAGGATTTGATTTGACGGAATTATTGCATAAGCTTAGCTTAAAAAAATGTTAAGCTTGGAAAAAAATGTCATGAGACAAAATGTTCACGACACACTTCTCTATCTGCTCCAAAAATTTGAGAAACGTTTGTCAAAGTTCATCGAGCAACTTAGTTCGTCCCCATCGTGCACTGCCTCTTATGACATCTTTTTCTTACAAAATAAACTTTTGCATTAATCACGTTTATCAACGTCAAAGCTCTTTGAATTGAAAACTTTACTTAATATGTACATTCTCGTATCGCCAAAATACATCTGAAACCTTCCGAGGCGAATGCAAAATGACTATGGTGAAATTGAAGATCTGTCGGCTTCGTTTGTCGCTCGAAGACTTCTTTTCGTTTTGGTACCTTGAGATATAGCTTCCTGTATGCAGTTTTTAATGCTAAATAAGAAAAACTCAGTTTCACGGCTTCGAAATGAGGTGGAATCAAGTTATTTAGTTTTCAAGAAAAGTTAGTGGTTTTTCGAAATAAGAGTTCCTTCAAGTTTTTTGAACTTTTTCACTGATAATGTACACTGGGAAGACTAAAAACTAGATATTCTTGATCAGCGTGAAATTTTCTATCGCATGATATATGGTTAAGCCAAAAATAAAGTAGCGCTGTAACTTCGAATTTTGGAACGCCTTACTTTAGGGCATAATACTAAATTTGTCAGATTAAATACATTCATGTTATTAGTCAATTTATCACAATGAGTTAAGACTGCGACGAATTGCCAATATTTTTTCTGTATGAGCTGGAACATGGATCATTAAAAACAACGTCAAGTCCAAATGCTTTAGCACGAAGCGCAGTGGCAGTACCTATACAACCACATCCAATAATTCCAAGTAACTTTCCATGTAGTCTAGGAGTACCAGAGGCTACCTGATGATTCCATTCTCCATGTCGCATTGATGTATGATATTCAGAAAGATGACGAACAATAGATAATAACATGGCAATTGCATGATCAGCTACTTTTTCAATTCCGTAATCGGGAACATTGCATACAGCGATGCCATGGCGTCCAGGTGCAACAATATGCGTTATTATATCCAACTCCAGCACGAATAACAGCCTTTAATATCGACGCTCGAGCAACGTAACACCCGTCATTAACTCAATTTGATAATAGACAATCAGAATTTGCGCATCTTTCAAAGATGATACAAGATCTTCTTCATGAATGATATTAGCTACAATTAACCGAACAGTTGGATCAAGAACGGGAGTCGATTATAGAATCTTCTAGAACAACAGTGATAACGACTGTAGATTTGTTGTATTGATTCGCATATTAATGCCTGTTTGTCGTTTTTATAGCCATTATCAGTATCCATAGTATTACAACTAGAAATGACAAGAGAATGAATACAGCCGAATAAGTTTTTATTAACCATTTCGAATCGTTGGTAAGACGCGCTTGCCCGAGATAATATTCCAGCTTCCGTATTGTAAAAAAGGGATCATAATGTGTAGCTTCTTCCCTGACGTCGTTCTTATGCTTATTCAACGTATTAGAAAAAACATCCGTGTTATAGTCAGCTCGGTCTGCCTGCTCTGCAGAGACCCATTCAAGAGCTTCCTGAGGAATGTTACCGAAGAATCGCTCCTTTACAGTAATAGCAGCAAAGAGTTCTTTGATTTGAGGAGTGGCAGCTTTGTCCAGCGGAGTACATCCATATTTGTTCATCGCTGTTCGTGTAGCTCCACGCTGCAGTAAAAGTTGCACAAGTTGTGGATAATTAAAATAGGACGCTGCACGGAGACTTGTGCTTCCATTCGGCTCTGTTCTATTGATTTCATCAAGAGTAAGGCGCGGAATGAGCGTTTCTACTGTAGCTAGAGCGCCATTGCGACAAGCAGTGTAAAGGATACTCATCTTGCTCGCTGTATTTGTACTTATGGGACTAACACTTTCACTTACAGAATCGATAATGCCACTGACCTTGATGGAGTTAGTGCTCTTACTAACAGGACCAATGGTACCATTCTTCTTGCTAGCGTTAGCGTTCATTTTGCTTTTCTTGCCACTCATCTTGCGTCTTTTGTAATAGTAGGTAGGTAAAATGAAAATAAGCGAAGTATCAACTTTTTTCAGCAGTGATACATGTGTCATTTGACTCAACAAATGGCTAATATAAGTTTCACGCATCAGAGAGTGGATAGAGGAAGATAGAAAGGAAAATGTATATGAATCATCTTTTCCACACGTACGTATGGATATGTCACTTGACTGCGTGGTACAATAGAGAAAGAAGTTCTACATATTTTGGTACCCAGATACTGCAACGGTTAACTGTATTTGTTATGTTGGTGTTATCCCAACCTACTTTGAGATTCACATACCCTGAGTAGCATTGAATGTCCTCTTCAATTGGAGATCTAAGCGATCTCAAACGGTTGCTCCATTTAAACGTAGGGAACCCATAGACAGTACGTTGAATCTGGGAATTTTCTGTTCGCTGAAACGAAGAAAAAAGCGCGGCACACACCCGTGAATCATAGAGCTTGAGCTCCTGATTTGAACGAGACTACACACAGCCTCAGGCGACATAGAGATCAAAAGTTATGATCACTCTAATTAGACAGTAGGTATTCTGGCGCTATTGAAGTCCTCCTTAGCATCGACGGTCTTAAGGAAAAAATGAAGTTTTCCCCTGCACTAGAAAATTCATTTTTGATCTGATAAGATTCACACGTTTTTCCCGATACTAAGTAAATCCAAAAGAAAATAGGTTTTGGGTGTTTTTAATAAACTAATTAAATTCGTTATTAATGTGTTAAAATATTAATACAAAATAGTACAAAAAAAAGTATTTTTGAATCGAAACTAGCCGGCCCGATTTCGGTTTTTTAACATTTTTTTTCTTTTTTTTTCTTTATTAACCGAATAAGTTATTTCGTTGAAAAATAGAAAAGCCCATTAACAATTGATAAGATCATTACAAATTGTGAGGCTGTCTTGTAAAGAGATAAATGCAGTGTAATGGATTAAAAAATAGCGAGTTTTATTATGCAGTCAGTCAAACAATTATTCATACCCCTATGATCATTGGTGTTGTAGTCGTTGTCCAACGTACGAATGAAAGCAGTTAAATTTAATCTGTTTGTACTAGCAGATAGGCCAAGTCAAGTTGTACATAAGGTATAATATTCAATTTGAACAAAGCTTTTCTCGAAGCACAGGAGGTTTTTTACGGATTTAGGTCAGTTTTTCAAGACAAACAATTATTGGAATACTTGACTCTTTTCTCCTAAGCCACTGTGTAGGCCAATTTCACTTCCAAGGTCTCAAGCACAAGAGAAGAGTGTCCTCGTCAAGTTGAACACGTTTACAGCAAAAACATAGGAATGCCTTCGAGTTGAAAACTTGAAAATTCCAAAACCATTCAGATTTTGGAAAACTGTTACATTTACGAATCTTTATTTGTATTTTCTTGTATGCCATAGGTAATGCAACTAGGAAAGAATTATTATTAGAACTATCGAGTTGCACAACAGTATTCGAATGTGAATCACTATCAATCATGGGTGTTCTCAATGTAAAAAAGCAAAAAATGAATTGTAAAACAGCAATTAATATGAAACAAGGAAGTAAACAGCAGGTATTTTTTTAACCCTCAAAGCATATTTTAAAAGTGGTAGAGATTGAGCAACTGTTTAGTTGCGCAAGATAGGGAAACAGCTGTCAATATGAAACAAGAAATTATATTGCATGCACAAAATGAATGTCAACTATTATTGTTACACACACACACACACACCATGACAAAACGAAAAAATAAGAG